CACTAACACCGTGCCCAGCGCCGCCATCCTCGATGGCACCTGGCCGGTCACAGAGCTGCCCCTTACAGGTCGGGTTCGGCCAAACAAGTAGAATAGGTTTGCCTCACATGGACTGCTATTACGCGAATGATTGTTTTATCTCCAGAGTGGCACCCAGACTGTCACCTGAGAACGAGGACGCACTCCTCCTCGTCTCAAGAGTGCCCACCCAAGAATGTCACCTGCGAACGAGACGCATTTTCGCCGTGCCAGCTCGCCAACACTCGGCACCTAGGCGCTAGGCATCCCTCGACTCCAGACTATGCCACTCAGCCTGGCACCTGAGCCGCAGACGCACTAACACGCGTGCCCATGCGCCGCCATACATCGATGGCACCTGGCCGGTCACAGAGCGTGACCTTACAGGTCGCCAGGTTGGCCAAACAAGTAGAATAGGTTTAGCCCTCACATGGACTGCTATACGCGAATGATGTTCTATGGTAATTAATGGGTATTACGGTTAAACGGAAGTAGGCGGCAGCACGCGCATAGAAACAGACGCGCAACGCGGCAGGGACTCACACTATCGCGTATCGCAGTGTGTTTGCACAGCGTGTTCTGCCCGCCAGCAAAAGGGCCACTCAAAATTCTCCACCCACCCTCCACATGTCACATACTTATGTAGCTAGGTAGATTGAGAAACCCTCCTACTAGGACGGTAATGCTATAGCATAGCTTAGGTAGGCGTGTAGATTAGCTTCAGCCCACCTGTTAGGGGCCAGGCACCTATCTAACAACCTATACCCCTCCCTATACATGCCTATGGCTTTCAGGGACAGCCTATCCTCGTCTCCAGAGTGGCACTCAGACTGTCACCTGGAACGAGACGCATTGCCCTCCTCGTCTCCCAGAGTGGCACCCAGACTGTCACCTGGAACGAGACGCATTCCCTCCTCGTCTCCAGAGTGGCACCCAGACTGTCACTGGACGAGACGCATTCCCTCCTCGTCTCCAGAGTGGCACCCAGACTGTCACCTGGAACGGACGAACCACCCCTCTCGTCTCCAGAGTGGCCACCCAGACTGTCACCTGGAACGAGACGCATTTTCGTGCCGTGCGCCAGCTCTGCCAACACTCGGCACATGGCCGGCTTAGGCATTTCCCCTCGCTCCCAGCTCTGCCACTCAGCCTGGCACCTGGAGCCGAGACGCACTAACACCGTGCCCAGCGCCGCCATCCTCGATGGCACCTGGCCGGTCACAGAGCTGCCCCTTACAGGTCGGGTTCGGCCAAACAAGTAGAATAGGTTTGCCTCACATGGACTGCTATTACGCGAATGATTGTTTTAACTGTACTGATGAGGGAAACTACCCCTGCATATCCAAAATGCAAGATATGGCACTGTGGTATACATTGGTAAATTGTAGCATACCTCGTTTTTGTTTCAATGTCGAGCAGTTAGCCTCCATATATCACCATTCAGAAAGGGGGGAAATCAGAATACGTACGTACATCGCAGAATATGGACGTAAAATCACTTACAAAACTGCATTCATATGCTATGACGTCAGTGAGTATAAATTAAGAGGTGTCTTCTTTGAAGCTGTAGATATCAAATGACACTGGCTTACAAAACAAACCTTGCACAAGAGAACAAACATAACAATATATGGAGATAGAGCCTGGGAACAAGGCTAGTATCAGAGAATTGGTAGAAACACTCTCCATTTTTAATAAGAAGAGTAAAGGTCAATGTCTGCATGCATATCTTGTGATCATGCATGTCATGTGATATATAGCTGCATGGCATCAGGTCTATATATCACATGACATTGACCAACCTCTTGCAAGAACTTCTAGGTGAAACACTGAATGCAGACTCAACTTGCTAGTGGCCTTTATCATCAGCAGAATGGTTAGGAAAGGGCTCAATTCCTTCGCTCCTTTCAGGCTGTATGTACAAGGAAGAGGGAGGAGAGGGGGAGGGAGAGAGGAGGAAGGAAGGGAGAGAGAGGGAAGGAGTACAATAGTAAGCACATTTCAAGAGCTACCACCCCGTCCCCTCTAGTTCCCAGAGAGGGTATATATGACTGTATGATGGGATAGAGACTTACTTTCTATGCACGCAGCACATACACTACCTACCTGTCAAGTATTGTGCACACTGACGATTTGAATTGAACTGCACAAGTGCACAATTTTGACCGGATCGGATACTATAGCCGACCTATGACCCCTATAGGCTGGCGGTGCCACAATCCTTATGCAATCATTTGTAAACCAAGGACACCTCAGTAATCAGGACACCTGAGAGAAGGACACCCCACTAATCAGGACACCTGAGAAGAGGACACTTCAGTAATAGCAAAGGACACTTCACTAATCAGGACCTGAGAGCAGGACACTTCACTAATAGGACACCTGAGAGCAGGACACTTCACTAATCAAGAAGGCTGAGAGCAGGACACCTCACTAGTCAGGACACCTGAGAGCAGGAGAAACCACTAATCAGGACACCTGAGAGGAGGACATTTCACTAATCAGGACCTGAGAGCAGAACACCTCACTAATCAGGACACCACACTAACCAGGACATGAGAGTAGGACACCTCAGTAATCAGGACACACCACAAATAAGGACACTTCAGTAGTAGGACACCTTAGAAAAGGACACTTCACTAATCAGGACCTGAGAGCAGGACACCTCACTAATCAGGACGGCTGAGAGCAGGACACCTCACTAATCAGGACAGGAGACCCCACTAATCAGGACACCTGAGAGCAGGACACTTCACTAATCAGGACACCCCACTAACCAGAACATGAGAGCAGGACACCTCAGTAATCAGGACACCCCACTCATCAAGACACCCAAGAGCAGGACACTTCACTAATCAGGACACATGAAAGCAGAACACCCTACTAATCAGGACACCTGAGAGCAGGACACATCACTAATTAGGACACCCCACTAATCAGTTTATCGACAACAATAATATCAGAGCATGGAGCATAAAGGGGGAGTTACCAACCGAGGAGGGGGAAGTTGCGACAGTCTGATCACGAGAATGCCTATTTAGTGTGGTAGCAACTGGCCGACGGTAATAGACCATACAATATTATCTGTACCGATGAGGGAAACTATTCCTGCATACCCAAAATGCCAGATATGGCACTGCATACTAGTAGTGTATGGTATACATTGTAGCATATACATGTATACACTCGTTTCAATGTCGAGCAGTTAGCCTCCAAATATCAGCAGTCAGAAAGGTATATACCTGCAGAATACGTACGTATGTATATCGCAGAATATGGACATAAAATCACTTACAAAACTGCATTTATATGCTATGACGTTAGTGAGTATGTATAGAAAAACATTTATATGAATTTAGAATGGTGCAGGTGTCTTCTTTGAAGCAAACGACACTGGCTTACAAAAAAAACCATGCACAACAGAACAAACAGACAGAATGGACATATTCTTAGGAGATTAGCAGTGGATTTTGATGAAATGTATACGTGTATTATGAAATTTTGTAGCTCATCAGTAGCAATGTTGAGCAGCTTGTGATACACAAGATAGGGGCGATAGGTCCTGCAAACCTCACAAGTTTTGTCTCTCTCAGCACCAGTAGAAGAAAAAGAAGGGGGAAAAGAGGAAGGAGAGAGAAGGCCAAGATAGGCTAGCAATGCTCCAACCCACTCCCTCAACTCACTCCCCTCCCCTCCGCTAGCAATGCTCCAACTCACTCCCCTCCCCTTGGCAAGGGAGTATCACAAATAGTAATGACTTGCTCAAAGGGTAAAGCTCTCTGCAGAGTGTTGTAGTTTTGAATCACACCCAGGGCAGCTCTTTTTTTAAAATTGGAATTCACCTGAGTATAGCTGTGTTGCTTGCCTTACATTACAATATGTATCTACAACAATAACTCACCAACACAGTCAGTGTGGAAGAAAAGAGAGAGAAAGAGAAGGGATAGAGGACAGAGACCTCTAGCACCACATGATCAGGGGGTTTCTAGCCGCGTTCCGTAAGCGATTCCATCACTGTCCTGCTCCAGCAACTAAGAGAGAGAGGAGGGGAGTTGTTTTAGCTCATGAAACACTGACTGCACATGTAGAAAAGACTGAAGCCTAATTGACATTACCCTCTCCCTCTATTCTCCTCTCTCCTCTTCCACACATGCACAGAATGATCATTAGTTGGAAGACGAGTCACATTTACAACACCAGCCATACACTCACTGTGAATAAACTACCAGCATTCCCTCCTTAGGCCTGTGGCTTGCTGTCCCGTGGTCAAGGGAGCTCTAGCTCATCTCCCTCTTCCTCGTGCGCATGCTTAGTTCAGGGGAAGCTCTGCGTACAGATGGGGGCGGGACCCGATAGTAGGCTCAGCAGCGTGTTCACGCAGTCTAGCGTAGTCTCGCCCATGAGCAGCGTACAAAACACCGCACAGAACCCAATGCCTGGACAAAGTAGACCTGAGCAGCTCTGTTCGCTTAACTGCATCTCAGTAGCGCGCCTGGGAGTGCGGTTGTTGTGCAGGATAATGGCGGGGGTACGGGGTTTACCTACGCATGTTCAGGATCAATGCACACTATTCCAGTGCCTCTCGTGGCTGTCACGCCGTTCCGTCCCACACGCAAACGAGCAGGGCGCGGTAACTATGGTACACTGTATACCTGGAACAAATTATCTCTAAACTCACCAGCAAGGAACGAAGAACATCCATACAGAGCTCCAAAAGCTACACACGTCGATCGATCAATCAAGCGGTGTACGTACGTACGTACGTATGTATGTATTTACTGTCTCAAAATACATCACGTGAGCTTTTCCCACTGCGCATATGCACATACGCAGGCAATTTACACTGCCGCAATGCGCTTGTGATGGTAATACCCACGCCTTTTCTTATTTCATCTTCGAAAAGCCGAGGCACGTGACACAAACGTATACTGCGCATGCGAAATCGCGAAAGAGGCGTGGTTCCAAATTTCCCGCGGCAAAAACACCCGATCCTGAAACCTTCTTCCAGTCGGAAGTGGGTAAATCATTGAACTTTGCGCGCGTGGCCACTGGGCCGTGGTTTTCGCTATAACCCTTTTGTACCTATCGCGTGCCTGCTAAAAGATTCTGCGATGGCATGGCGAATGAAAGTTCGATTGCCAAGATTAAAAGTCACCCAGAGAAGTACGAGTAGCCCTGCTACTAAGATAATAGTCCCTAGAGGCAGGCGAGGTGGAGGTGGTGTGGCTATTTCTGCAGAGGAAGAAGCGAGTGAGGCTCCTTCCGGCAGTGAAATGCGTCATGATGAAGTTCGTGATGAAGATCATGCTGTCGTTTTCTCTGATGTGTATCATGATCACGATGTTGTGCGGGAACCATCTCCCACTCTACACGAGATAAATGAAGCTGCAAATGCGACGAGCTGGAAGAACATACGTTCCGAACTTCTGCGTGCCATCACTGAGTCGTTTGCAATGCCATTGGGGAAGAAATGCTGCATGTGTTCTGAAGCAGCAGCGTGTAGGTGTGTGCAGTGTGGAGCAGCGATCTACTATTGTATCAAATGCTTTGAAGGGAGCCACTCTACAGCCAATATTTATCACACACCTGAAGTGTGGGATGTAAGAAATATGCAATCACTATTCTTGCATGGATTCAGTTAACATGTGGGCCTGGGTTCTAGGTTCCCCAGTGGATTAGCGGACCTGGGTTCTAGGTTCCCCAGTGATTAGCAGACCTGGGTTCTCAGTTCCCCAGTGGATTAGCAGACCTGGGTTCTAGGTTCCCCAGTGGATTAGCGGACCTGGGTTCTCAGTTCCCCAGTGGATTAGCAGACCTGGGTTCTAGGTTCCCCAGTGGATTAGCAGACCTGGGTTCTAGGTTCCCCAGTGGATTAGCAGACCTGGGTTCTCAGTTCCCCAGTGGATTAGCAGACCTGGGTTCTCAGTTCCCCAGTGGATTAGCGGACCTGGGTTCTAGGTTCCCCAGTGATTAGCAGACCTGGGTTCTCAGTTCCCCAGTGGATTAGCAGACCTGGGTTCTAGGTTCCCCAGTGGATTAGCAGACCTGGGTTCTAGGTTCCCCAGTGGAGTTAGTAGACCTGGGTTCTAGGTTCCCCAGTAAGTGTGTGGGCCTGAGTTCTAGGTTCCCCCGTGGTTTAGTGGTCCTAGGTTCTAGGTTCCCCAGTGAGTGTGTGGGCCTGAGTTCTAGGTTCCCCAGTAAGTGTGTGGGCCTGGGTTCTAGGTTCCCCAGTGGATTAGCAGACCTGGGTTCTAGGTTCCCCAGTGGATTTAGTGGACCTGGGTTCTAGGTTCCCCAGTGGATTTAGTGGACCTGGGTTCTAGGTTCCCCAGTGAGTCTGTGGGCCTCTATTTTAGGTTCCCGCATTTGGTCCTGGGTTGAGGTTTCTACAAGTAGTTTATTCATCTACAATTTACTGGTCTTTTATTGAGCCAAACTGTAACGTATTAGTTATTATCTAGTGTTTGTGTGCATGGCTACTCCTGCCTCAAAGACCTCTCAAGGACAAGGAGACAGTGAGGTCAGGAGCCTCTTTCTCTGCAGTCCAGTCCCACGGGAGTGGTCGGGAGTGTTGTCATGCCCCCCTTTGGGGGGCCGTCCCCCCGGGACCCCTCCCTCTGTACGATGTATGCCTGTTATACAATGCATATCTTTTTCTAGGAAGGAATGTATAAACCCTTAATCATCGAAAACAGAAATGTTAATGTGTTGACCCATGAGTGCCCTACTAAGAAAGAGATTCCTCTATGTTGCATTGACTCCCAAGGTATTGTTTCTTATGTTTTCTGCACATCTAATTAAATATGGCTGTATATCACAGGCACACAACATTCTATAATGTTTTCTTGCTGCGATTGTGAACCAACTGCTCTTACCATGGTTAGAGCTCGACTCTGGCCGGCTAGTCCTCGTCTCCCAAAATTAGCCTTCACATTCGAGTTGTTAGAGTGGGCAGAAGCTCTTCTGTTGGAATGCCAAGTGGCTCTTGGGGATTTCTGCAAAGCCCTCCACTTTAAGTCCCCTCATTTAACCAATAAGGTAAATTCCAAACACACACTATCACTAGAAGATTTATATAACCACGTTTGCTTTTTAGAGGAAAGAGATTTATGCAGCTATGATAAATGCCTTTGAAGAATTTAGGTAAAATATGGTTAGTTTGGTGTCGAACCAATGTATAACACAGTATCATTGCAGGTATATGAAAGTAGAGGTCCGTAATCTCTCGTACATCAGTGACGAATTTGATAATGGAAATATTTGTCCTGCGTGCCCTAAGGTATAAGACTTGCATGCATAATTCAAGCTCATGGTTGTGTTTTTTTTTGCATTTCATCTTCATCTCCAGGAGAGAGGAAGCGTCATGATTTCTATGGATGCTCTATTTGGACTTCCACGAAAAAAGTCTGCCGGACAGAGTCATAGAGATCCACTTCATGGCCACATATTCTTCAAAGATCAACCTTCAGTTGATGAGCATGTTGCTAGTTCTTCTCGAAGAAATGCTTGTGATAAGGTTTTATTTAAAATGCTTTGTTGTATGTTGGCCAGCATCTTTACTGCAATCAGGTGTGCAGTGACTTCTTAGCTGGTGATGTGCTACGATCATCAAATCGTTACAAAGCCCTTGATGAGACAGCTTTGTTTGGTTGTGCTTGTAGGCATGAATTTCCACTTATGTTCATCAATTTGAAACATGGAGAAAGGTAACTAAATGAGACTGCTTATTACCACTGATATGTGCTTGTTTGTTGACAGGATAAGCTATGCTGAATGGCTTTTGCAAGAAATGGTTCAATCATATCCAGCTGAAATAAAGCTACATGTGATGTATGATATAGCTTGCACTCTAAACAAGTATATGCAGGTATATATGATGCAAGCGTGAAACATGCAGCTTTTATGTAATTGTCAATTGCATTGTACAGAAATATGAAGGAAATAATGTTTTATTGAAGAAAGTGCAGCTTTGCTTACCAATTTTCCATGCTTATGGTCACAAACCACAGTGTCAGGTTTGTATAGTTTGTAGGTCACTTCTTGCAACAAGGATTTTTATCATTGCAGATAATCTTCAGTCCATTGCGCTGTGATGGTTTAGGGCTCTCAGATGGTGAAGTAATGGAACGTCTTTGGTCCTTTTTACGCCGTTTCTCTCGCATGACAAAGGAAATGCGGCCAGCCCACAGAACGGATGTTCTTTGTCATGCTCTGATTTACTATGGATACAAGACAAAGAGAAAGCTAGGTAGGACCATCACCTAACCTATATTATAACTATTAAGCTCTGCACCTGATAGGATCACTGTTACTAAACCGTTGGAAGAAAGCTGAACAGATGCA